CCCCTGGGAGAAACCTCTTCAGTTCCTCGACCAATCCTGCAGATATGATGACCTGTCCCTGCAGCCAGGGGGACCCGGATGAGATTGATAGAACCAGTTCCATTGCGGTGTTCATCAGATTCCTCAAGAGATCGCTGTCACTCAGGTTCTTGAAATAAACCACCCTGCTTTAGGGTTTATGGGTTTAGGGTTTAGGGTTTTAGGGTTTAGGGTGTAGGGTTTAGGGTTTAGGGTTTAGCGTTTTTAGGGTAAACACAAGAACCAAGTGAAAACTCCATGACACCCCTTTAAAGCCGTTAAAAAGCAAGAACCGAATAACCGGAAACATGATATCAACCAGTACCTTTATAGAAGCCACATAGAAACTCTTATTGATTCCTTTAAGGAACCCCAGAACGGCTCGTAATTTAGAGAACTACCAAACCCTAAACCCTAAACCCTAAACCCTAAACCCTAAACCCTAAACCCTAAACCCTAAACCCTAAATGCAGGGAAGGCACAGCTCAGAGTCGACTCCAGGGCTTTGCCGCCGTCTCGGGAGTCGGCGCCCCAGTGCGAAGTATCGTAGTACTGCACGCCTTTTGGGTTTAGGGGTTTAGGGGCTTAGGTGTTTAGAGTTTAGGGTTGAGGGTTTAGGGCTTTGGGCGAAAAAACAAGGCCCTTCTCTCACAGTTGCTAAACCTTAAGCCCAGAACCCAAAGCCCTTGTATAACAAGGGGCCTGGCTCGTTGGAATAAGATGCCTTTAATGTAGGGGCCTTAATAATTAGAATAGCGGTTTGAGCTCCCGTTTACCTAGGACGCTTTGGGTAAGTAATGTAGGGGCCTTGACAAGCAGAATAGGATTTTAGGGTATATTATACTCTACTTATTATAAGGAACCACCCAAAAGAGTATAGGTAAATGCCGCTACAGTCAATGATTCTCAAGAAGGGGTCTATAATGGTTGCTGTTCTTTAACAAGGGCTACTATAGGGGCTCTCTGCTACAGGGGTCTTCATAATTTTCGGCCTTTTGGGGTACATGATCGCATGGCTGTAAAAATGAAACCCGACGGAATAACATTGCTAAATATTCAGGCTTCGTGCCTATGCTACCCAAACCCTAGACCCTAAAGCCCTAAACCCAAAAAGGAGAAGCCAGAAAGTTGGAACATCATTATCCTCATGCCCTGAAGGTAGAGCAGAGGGAATCCCAGCAATAATCATCCGAAATCCATGTTCCAACTTTCTGGGGTTCACTATAAAGGAGAAGTACATTGGAGGATCCGAGTCAGGATTTAGGGCTTCAGGTCGTGCTGGTTTAGATCTTTGGGGCCTTTGGGCTAAGGGTTCAGGAAGTTTAGGGCTTTGGGTTCAAGGGTTTAGGGGTTTAGGGTTTAGGGTTTAGGGTTTAGGGTTTAGGGCTTAGGGTTTAAGGGTTAAGGGTTTGGGGGTTTTAGGGTTTTACCTGTAGTGTCCATTGTAGTTCCTTTTTGGGTGTTACCTTCTAGGGTCCTTAATCTGAAATGGGTCAATACAACAGTAGGTAATATGTATTTATCTGAATACAAGTACCCTAAGTAAGTGGGATCTTGAGTGGGTTATGATACGTACAGCTCTATTAAAAAGTAAGTCCCCCCCTAGTAAACCCTAACCCTAGACCCTAAACCCTAAACCCTAAACCCTCAACCCTCAACCCTAAACCCTAAACCCTAAACCCTAAACCCTCAACCCTAAACCCTCAACCCTAAACCGTAAATCCTGAGGCTAGGCAGAGCCTTTGGGCTTGTCTTGAGTAAGCCTTTCCGGGAAGCGTCCGATCAGGGTTCAGGGTTTAGGGGCTTAGGGTTTAGGGTTTAGGAAGAAGCCAGGAAAAGGAACACAAAAAGCCGGAAACATTTTTCTGTAGGCTTCGTAGGTTAAAAAACTAAGGGATTCGTATCGCCTGTTGTTGTATAGGTGTAAATGCAAGCCCCGCAAGCGAAAGCACGTACATGTCATTCAGAACCTAGAACAGTATATTATATTCCTGCTAAAGCAACTTTTAGTATAAACTCGAAATCCCTTTTTTGATAAATCCTAGACCCCTTAGAAAGAAACCTTTTTGATAAGCCCTATATTATACAATCCTTAATATAGAAAAGCCCTAAAGCCCATTCCTTGATGAAGACATTTTGGAGTTTCTGGTCTACTTGGAATCCTGGAAGGTCGGTAGCTAACAAGTAGACCCATAAGTACCTTAAGCGGCTTCCTGATTGGGGTTATGATGTGTATAAAATATTTATTTACTAAGCCCCATACTCCCCTGTGTAGAAGCCTAATCGATCCCTTGAAGGATCCCTTTAAGGATCGATTCAAGGAACCCTACTTACTAAGAACCCCAACCCTCCAAGGAATATAGGGGCCTTACTAAGTAGAATTAGAATAGGGCCTTGGGGCCCATTATACTACAAATATTATCAGGAACGCCCAAAATAGTATGAGTAATCGTTATGTAAGGCCCCTACACCCTAAACCCTAAACCCTAAACCCTAAACCCTATTTGGCATCCGAGGCACGGAGACCACGCCAGAAGTGTCGCTGGCTCCCGCCCTTGGCCTTGGGGTCCTCGTCCTGGCGAGGCCAAGACCTAATCCGTAACCCTAAGCTCTGGGTTTAGGGTTTAGGGTTTAGGGTTTAAGGTTTAGGGTTTAGGGCTTCGGGCTCGAAACCCTAAACCCTAAAAATCTAAACCCTAAGCCCTACTCTAAACCGTTTACCCGAAACTCCTAAAAGCTACCTCCCATGTGCATGGAGCATAGTAGCGCTCGTAATAGTGGGGCCCTTGAAGACAGCGGAGTCTAGTGATCACAGGTCTGCAGTGATAGTGGTATAGCAGGAAAATGGAGGAAAAGCCTCCCTACAAGCGCCATTATCCCTCCGACCCATAAACCCAAGCCCTTAAACCCGTAACTTTCCAAACCCCTATACCAAGGAACCCTGTCAAAACTAAACCCTAAACCCTAAACCCGGAACACTAAACCCTAAACCGTGAACCCTGAAGCTTGAACCAGAAACCCTCCCTTGCCTTATGTACTTGGGTAGTTTTCTAAATTAGCGTCCCCTTTTAAGTCCCCAATATCATACGGCACCCTTGTAAAAAAAGGACCCTAAATAGGACCCTAATTTAGAAAACTACCCATTTAGACTTCAACGGCACTTGAATCGGATTAAGGTCGTCGAAAACCTAAACCCTAAACCCTAAACCCCAAACCCTAAACCCTAAACCCTAAACCCTAAACCCTAAACCCTAAACCCTACTTGGAGGATCTTGGGACCTGGGACCTAGTAAGTAGGGTTATAAGTACCTAACTTGGGGTTATAAGTATAGTTACCGTGCTTATAACCTCAGGTACTAAGTCCCATGATCCTTTAAGTAGTTCCGAAAATCTAGGATTTCGAAGCCAAAATGGGGGGGAGGGACCCCGAGATGGGCCACCAGCGTAATTAACACTCACATTTTACGGAAAGAACTTCTCTTGGAAAATCCAGCCCTCATTTCAAAATAGGTGCGATCCGAAACCTAGTTCCGACACCTACTTCCGGAATCTAATTCCGAAACCTAACTCCGAGATCTTATTCGATAAGGGTCGAGGGTGGGGGAGGTGCAACAACCTAAGCTAAATTGTAAGGTTTAGGGCTTAGAAGGATTAGGAGTTTGGTTTAGGGCTTGGCTTTGTAGTCAGGGCAGCAAGTGAAGTATGCGTAGAAGGTTTGTTGTATTTTCCGGATGTTAAAAAAGCTTCTTCGGGCAGGTGGGTTTTTCCTAAATCCGAAACTGCGAGCTCGACTAGAGACTGTTCGATCCTGAACCCTAAAGCCTAACCCCTAAACCCTAAACCCAAAACCCTGAAGCCTAAAGCCTAAACCCTGAACCCTAAACCCTCAACTGTAGAATGTCAGGTGCCGACCTCAGCTTCATGCCATCTTACGCTTGGCTGCATTAGTGTGCGTGTGTGTGTGTGTGTGTGTGTGTGTTGGTTTTCCGAGTTCGTGGTCCGAAAGTGGCCACAGACACACACAGAAAGAAGAGATGCACAGATAACATTCATTTCTCCAGATGCGGGTCTATAGAGACTGGCCCTCATTGTATGTGCGAAAGCACACAGCAAGGAGCAGGACAATGCAGTCTGCTTGAAGGCCATGCTTTTAGACAGTATGGCTGGAATGAGCCCAATCGCGACAAAGATGATCTCTTGAACCATAAATGTTTGGCTCAAGTGCAAGACGTCTGAGATGTGAAGAAGACAGTGGAACAGATTCCGTTTTGTGGCGCTGCTTCCTGCAAAAGGGTGTGAGTGTTGTTGGGCGTTGGTCGCCTCCTGCAGTCCGAGATCCAAGATTGGGGTGTGTTACTTTTACATGGTAGCGGAGCCCTGAAAGTGCTTCCTACTAAGTCCGCCAGCCTGTGGAATGGAGCCGTGTTCACCGGGCACGATGGAAAGAGGGACAGGAGTAGGAGTACCGCGCAACCCAGGGAGTACAGTACCAGTCATGGGACCTTTCATGCAACATGCGCCCCAAATGGGACCAAGTACTGCAGGCAACATGGATCCGAACAGGGTTGGCCACGAACAGGCAAGAGCATCAGGAGTGCCGGTGACGCCAACAAGCAGTAGTTCATTAAGGAGTCAGCCACAAGCTGGGCATTGTCAACAGGGGTGGGCACCCAACGGTGGTGGTTGCCAGAATCAAAGCGGGTGTGCAGGAGTAGCTGCTAGCCAGAATCAGCCGAGCACGCAAGATGTTGTGACGTTGTTGCAGCAGGTGATTCCTAGGTTGTCCCCTCAGCAAGCACAGGCTGTGCAGTGGGCTTTGGCGGAGCAGTTGACTCATCAAAGTCGTGGAGTGCCGGATCGTTTTGGGGAGTTGCCTCAAGCACCCCTCCACCAAAGGTTTGTGCCGGATGCCTCGGGCACGTTGCCAAATGCTGCGGGTTGCCATGGCCCTCAAGGGGTTGGTTGGCATGCAGATAAGGACGTGTTCACCCAAGCAGAAAAGTGGCTTGGACCCCCACCTCAACCGGAGGTTGAGAAGTGGACGTCGAGGGAAGCAGAAGTCACCGGATTTGCGGACTACTTGGTGCAGCTTCTATCTTGGGCAAGTATGGGGAGTACAGTGTTTTGTTCTGAGATTGACATGGCGAATAGATGGCCCGAGCCAATTTGGCAAGTGAACCTATCTGCGGACCAAAAGGTTCGGTCATCGAGGTTGTTGGCCATCTTGCGTGGGGCATTTCAGACTCATGGGCGGACTGAGTTGATGTTGCGTTCGTTCATAGAAGGCTTGTCGTTGGACGGGTCGGTGGATCCAGTGAGAGCGCGTGGTAACACACAGTGTGGGTTTGAACTGCTTAGGCAGCTTACTCAACAATACTCCCTGCGATCACGGGCTGAAGCTTTGAGCATGCGGTCGGAGTTGATCAATCGCATCTTTGCGTTGCGAGCCTCGGATACGTCAGTAGCCACACAGGTGGGTGACGTCATTCGCAAGATTGATTTGGAACTCGCCAAATTTGCGAAGTTGTTGGGTACGCTTCCAGAGGCTTTTGACCGCAGTGGCCTTAGTATTGGGGATTGTGATGCCATGGTCATTCTCCTGCGAAGTTTGCCTGAAAATGCAAAGCAGTATGTGTTGCATCATAGTGTGGGTGACACGTATATGGCATGCAGGAACGCAGCACTGAAGTTTGAAAGGCAACAGCGGTTGTTCTTGGATTTGAACCTTGGAGGCAAACCCCCAAAAGGCATAGCAGCGGTAACTACAGGTTCACCGGGCCTCCAAATGTTTGCGATGGATCGCTGGGATGAAGAGGGATCCTGGGAAAGTGCTTGGTATGATAGTCAAGAGTGGGGCGATGTGAACGCCACAACTCGTGAGAAGTGCAATCGGTGTGGAAAGGCCCATGCAACCGATAAGTGCACAACGAATCTTGACAAAGTCAAGTGTTTTTCTTGTCATGAAATGGGGCACATCGGCGCGAACTGTCCACACAAAGGAAAAGGCAAAGGCAAGGAAAGTCAAGGCAAGGATGCCAAAGGAAAGGTGGGCAAAGGAAAGCCAGGAAAATCAGGAGGTAGTAACGAGAAGGGCAAAGGAAAAGGCAAGGCTGGAAAGCAAGGAAAGAAAGGAAAGATGAATGAGGTGTCTTACGCTTACGATGGGGATGACGGGCAATGGTGGTCACAGGAGTGAGACTACAATTGGCAATAACCGTATCTAGATCAGGAGCTGGGGCAAAGTGCTCTGGCGGAGTGGAGGCACGCAGGCATCACAGAGTGTACCGTTGCAGATGTCCAGTCTGCTTCTCTGGGAGCTCATGTCTGAAGAAGTGTGTGCTATGCAGAAGTATGGCATAGGAGAGTTTGTGTTGCAGAGCAGTAGCGGGGATGAGCTTGGGTCGCAAGTGTGTGAAGTGTGTGATGTCGGCAAGCTTGCTTCAACAGACTCATGTGTAGGCACAAAAGAAGAGAGTGAGAGAGCTCTTGAGGGCGCTGTTCAAAGTTTGTGTTTCCAGAAGCCTGCATGTGTAGCCATGACTTGTCACCCGCTGTGTGGCTTGCTTACGAAAGTCGCGTGTGATGACCATTCGTGGTGGTTGTTAGATTCTGGGGCATCGGTGACAGTGTTGTCTAGAGCGAGTTTGAGCGAAGATCATGCCAAAGTTGTGGGCCCCGCACCATCAGGGTTCAAAGCGGCGAACGGGAGCGCTGTACCCATGACTCATGTGGCCGAAGTATGTGTGGATGTTCGTTTAGGTGGAGATAAAAATAAGCCACAGTGGTTCACTGCGAAGCTCACGATTCTGGTAGGGAACACTAGGCACAACATCCTGGGCACAACCGCTCTATGCAATTGTGGGTGGACCTTCTCGCAAAGCAGTGGCCGATTTAGCTTGAAACATGATGCTACTGGCATGTTTGCGTTGGATACGGCAGCATATGCTGGATGTCCTTGGGTTCAGTTGCGTCCGAGGGTTGATCAGTCAGCAGAGCCTTTAGACATGGGGGATTTGGCAGAGCCAGAAGCGCAACTCGAAAAGATGGAAGTAGATACTCTGTCACCAGTGAAGCGTGTGCAAGCTTTTTCTGCGGAGGATCTTGTAGCACACAGGTTGCAAGGTCATGTTCCGTTTCATCCGGCATGTGTTGACTGTCAGAAAGCCAGAGGAGTGCACCATCACAGAAAACGCACAGACAAAGGTCTTCACACAGAGCTTCAAGCTGATTTCTTGTTCATTTCAAACGAAGGTCAGGTGTCATCGGAAAGGTCCCCGGGTTCAGTGAAATGTTTAGCCTTGAAAGAAGTTTTCTCAGCATGTGTAGGTTGCGTTGTGATTGATGGTGTGGAGCTTCCTTCTGCGCGCGGCTGTCTGATTAAATGGCTTCACGAGTTCGGTTTGTCTAGCAGTACAGTGTCAATCACCATGGTCACTGACAGCGAAGCGGCCGTAAGCAGCTTTGTTTCTAGAGCGAGCGATCACTTCCACTTTCTGGTCAAGAAGGCTGGGCCACAGGTCCACGAGGCCGTAGGACATGCAGAACGATGCGTGCGCACATTAAAGGAGGCCCTTCAGGTTCTCCGAAGTGACATGAACAGGTCCAGCCTTGATTTGAAGCTGGGAGCGTCTGCACTTCAAGATGTTCTGACACATGTTTGCATGGCTCAAAACCGCTTTGGAAAGGCCCACGGGGCCAATCAAGCGCCTCAGGAAATCGCTACTGGAAGGCCCCTACCAGAAACTCCGTTTTCTCTGTTTTTGTCCTTGGTTTTAGCAGAAACGCCTGACAGCATGCACGAGAAGTATCCGAACTCACCTCGGTTTGTTGAAGCATGTTTCATCCATCCTCAGTGGGCGTCTCATGGGAGTCTGGTCATTGGGAAGTTTCGAAATCGTGATGTCTTGGTCACTGAGCGTTTTGTTGCTAAGAGCATTCGCATCGTTATGCCACCCAAATGTGACAAAACGTTTTGCCCTGAACACATGAAGTCGTTGACTGCAGCAGAAGCTGCCCGAATCCCGGCAGAGGTTGCTGTGCCACTCAGTATAGGGCAAGGACCAAGTTTGAATGCACCAGTGTCAGGACGTCCGAGTGATTGGATTCGATCACACGGGTTTACTGAAGGGTGTAGTGCGTGTAAGGGTCTTCAAGAACAAGGCTCCCGAAAGGGAAAGGTGCACAACAAACAGTGTGCTAGGAGGTATGAGGCCTTTTTGCGGACGCGAGCGCAGACTGCACATGCTGATAGGCCATCATCGTCATCAAATCAGCCAGAGATCCCAAGACTCGTGGAAGGTCAAAACGTTGCTACACAAGGCCCTGAAGTCCCTCAGACAGTCGGGAGTCCTGTTCTCCCAAATTCGATAGGCCCATCACTAGTGCCGAGGCTTGAACTGAGGACTGCTGAGCCACTCAGGCGTGTAGTAGGTAAGACTCCTCCTCAAACTCCAAGAAGCTTTGGTAGAGAGTCTGATGGTCGACACGGTCAGGTGGAACCAACTGAATCTCCAATTCCGACAGCTGACGCACCTTCTGAGTCTAGCATTCCTGTTGTAGGTAGGTTGCCCACAGAGAAGCGAACAATCCCTGAGCAACCTTCCAGCGTCCCTCCAGCAGAAGACATGCAAGTTGACATTGATGTCGAGAGAGAGAGAGTGTTTAGGCAGAAGCGGAAACCGGAGGTGGAGACTGAGACGTTAGAAAGAGAGATTGAGGAGAGTAGGGCAGACAGGATTGTAGATACAGTCATGGAGCTCGATCTCTGTTGGTCTGCAGATGCCAGTCCTGTGTGTGAGATTCTTCATGAACTTAGTGGTTTAAAGAGCGCACATGCGACAGCTCCGGAGTTCTTTGATCCAAGCATTGAGTCCATCAAGTTTGAGCATGGTGAGCATGAGCATGTTAAGCGTACTCTTGTTGGTTCTGGTTTGGAAGCCAGCCAGCGCGGTGGATGATACAACACTGCAGCCTTTGGATCGGGACCTCACCTTCAAAGGGAGTGTGCTGAAGTGGAGCATCTAGAGCAGTGCAGCGCAGGGCGTCTTGTAGATGAAGTTGAAGCAAAGGCGCTCAAGGATCGGTTTCCACATGCTCGTGTGATCCAAAGCAGATGGGTCACGGCGTTCAAAAGTGCGAGTAAAGTGAGGGCGCGCATAGTGGCGAAGGACCTGAACAAGGGGGTCTCGGCGAGGAAGTTGGGATTCTCTAGCCCAACACCGTCCGCAGAAGTGTTGAACTTGTTGTTAGCGATCGCTGGGAGCCGGGACTTGCGGTGTTTGTCGCTAGATGTGGAACATGCCTTTATGCGTTCTCCCCTTCCGGAGTCCGAGGTGGTGATTTTGAAGTTGCCAATGAGTGTCTCCTTAGAAACCGGACTTCCGGCGTACCTGGTGTTGGCTGTCGCAGTCAATGGGCTTCGTGATGCAAGTTTGAGGTGGTTGAACAAGTTGGCGTCGGCCATCAAACCCACTGGCCTGTGGGCTTGCGAGTATGAGCCGTGTCTCTATGCAGGTAGTGTGGTTAGGCCGGGTGATCCCAAACGCCGGGTTGTGGGTAAAGCCATTCTCTTGGTCTATGTAGATGACGGGATTCTGCTTGGAGGGGCGGGGGACATAGTAAGTAGGTAATAAGTGGAGTTATAAGTACCCTTAAAGGAGACCCTAATTGGGGATATGATACTTATATTGTCTATAAAAGAACTACTTACTAAGTCCCCCGATCCTCCAAGTGGTGTGTGACACTGCCGAAGCCGAAGAAGTGATTGTTGCGGCGATTGAGTCCCGAGTGCCGTTGAAGATCACAGGTCGCATACTTCCATCCGCACAAGGGGGCGGAGAGATAGGTTTCATTGGACGTCGCATCAGAAGATGGCCGTTGCGATCTCAACTTGAGGTGTTTGTCCCCGCGGATTATTTGACCTCTTGCTTTGAGGCATACGGTATCAAATCAGGGTCTTCGTCAGCTCCTGATTTAGCCATACACCTGGAGAGAGCCAACAACAAAGAGCACTCGGCCTCGCAACCTTTGTCTGAAGAAGCGTATGCCAAATTCAGAAAGACGCTTGGCAAGCTCTTGTGGTGGAGTCAAACACGCCAGGATTGCAAGATGTATCTTTCGCTCCTTGCAACGCAGCAAAGCTCACCCAGGCAGGGCACTGAATCTGCCCTCAGGGCCTTTCTGAGGTTCGTGTATCAGGATGCGCATGTTGTGTTGCAAATGCCGTCAGACGAGGATCTTTCAAACGGAGAATCGGGGCTCCAGGCAATCATTCAATCCTTTTCTGATGCTTCACATGCACCGTATCGGTTCAACAATCGGCGTGGAGTTACCGGTGGTGTGCTGTCGCATGCAAATTCCCTCATCAAGTGTCTGTCGCGCCAACAGCAATCTGTCAGTTTAAGCTCGTGCGAAAGTGAGCTTTACGCCATACAAGCTGTCATACAAGCTGAGCACAGGAGTCGGTGGCATTTAGCAAACTCGTGTCTCGCGTGTATTTCGCATGGCATGAGGTGAACGAGCTTGATCCAGTGGTTGTGTTGTTGGATTCGGACTCCGAGGCGGCTTTGGAGTTGTTGAAGGGCGTGGACATCCCACGCAAGAGTAGACACATTGAAGTGCGACTGGAATGGCTTCGCCAAAAGGTGGCTTGCGGTGAGCTTGTCCTTAGGTTTAGGCCTGGGGATAGCAACGTGTCGGATTTAATGACGAAGTGCTTGAACACACGCAAGTTCGTGAAGCATAGGACTTCACTGGGCTTTGTTGTGCCGTCTGGACCGATGGATGCGTTGATCCGGGTTGCCTTGCACAAGAGCGGTCGTTTTGCTTAGTGGTGCGCACTGGTCAAGCTAAAGCTTGAAAGCTTTTTGCTCGTTGATGCAACCGTGCATGTTGCAGCGTGGTCGTTTTGCTTAGTGGTGCGCACTGGTCAAGCCGAAGCTTGAAAGCTTTTTGCTCGTTGATGCAACCGTGCATGTTGCAGCGTGGTCGTTTTGCTTAGTGGTGCGTTGGTGCACAGTTTCACGCGTTTTGTTCAGTAAGTAAGATCGTCATGCACTCAGTTTTTCTTGCAGCTGTGTAGAAGCATGTCTGCAAACTTTGAGATGCCTTACTCACGTGTGAGTGGCGGAACTTGTTCGGGCTGTGGTTGTCAATCTGGATCTTAGACCGCGGTTGGCTGCCTTGATCGGTGATGCTCTTCCCTTGCGTGGGTTGCAGCGTCTGTGTCTAATGTTTTTGTTGTGAGTTCTCCATCTGTGCCAGCCATGGGACGTGTGAACTCTGAGCTTTTGGCTTCGATGACGACAGACAGTTTCGTTCACGTGGCCAGTCAAGTGCTGTGCAGAGGACGCGCTGAATCACAAACGTGATGAGTGCACAGTGCCAAAGCACCTCCCATCCATCCACACAGACACGTCTTTTGTGACATCGCGAATGTGATGATGGCCACATGCAGCTGCGGATGCGCCAGCCACGGTATCACGAAGGTGAAAGTGAGATCGCTGTGATCGGCACAAGGGGGTGTAGAATGTCAGGTGCCGACCTCAGCTTCATGCCATCTTACGCTTGGCTGCATTAGTGTGCGTGCGTGTGTGTGTGTGTGTTGGTTTTCCGAGTTCGTGGTCCACTTTCAGACACACACAGAAAGAAGAGATGCACAGATAACATTCATTTCTCCAGATGCGGGTCTATAGAGACTGGCCCTCATTGTATGTGCGAAAGCACACAGCAAGGAGCAGGACAATGCAGTCCGCTTGAAGGCCATGCTTTTAGAAAGTATGGCTGGAATGAGCCCAATCGCGACAAAGATGATCTCTTGAACCATAAATGTTTGGCTCAAGTGCAAGACGTCTGAGATGTGAAGAAGACAGTGGAACAGATTCCGTTTTGTGGCGCTGCTTCCTGCAAAAGGGTGTGAGTGTTGTTGGGCGTTGGTCGCCTCCTGCAGTCCGAGATCCAAGATTGGGGTGTGTTACTTTTACATAAACCCTGAACCCTAAACCCTAAACCCTGAACCAGAAACCCTCAACCCTAAACCCTGAACCCTAAACCCTGAACCAGAAACCCTAAACCGAAATCCTGGGTCCCTGCCGAGGAGCCCAGTCGGCTTCGGTGAAGAGGTTGAGGTGGCCACTGCACTTCCTTTGTTCGGACTGGGAGGGTTTTCAAGGGCCTGAATCGTTAGAATACGGTTTGGGGGTATAACACACGATAATTACCATAGCGAACCCCAAAGATAGTATAGGTACTTACTTCCCCTAAACCCTAAACCCTAAACCGGGTACTTATTTCCAACGTTAGAAGTATGGGCCCCTCATATGAACCCTTAGGGGGGTTCTAAGGTCCCTTGAGGGTACATATGGGGTTTTGAGTATAGGGTTTAGGGTTTAGGGTTTAGGGTTTAGGGTATAGCTATATAAGGGTCCCAGGGTTAAGGGCCCATACTAGGGGCGCATGGGTTCAACCGTAGATCCTTTGTTCAGACTGGGAGGGCTTTTGTTTAGCGCTCCTTTCTCGGTCCTCCAGAAGCCTCCCGGAACCCTAAACCCTAAACCCTAAACCCTAAACCCTAAACCCTGGTCTGGAGTTGTGTTTGGAGTGTGGAGGGTTCCCTAAAGCCCTAAAATCCTAGACTCAACCCTATAAACACTCAATAGGAGGCTGCGAGGTGCTTAGTAGGGAATGGGGGAATGGATCCCTAGAATCCCTAGTCTCTTAAGGTCCCTTATAATAGTCCCTATTACCCAGTCCCCCATTCCCTACTAAGCACCAGACAGGAGGGTTTGGTGTGTTTAGGGTGTGGGGCTACAGGCTCTACAGGGTTGACTGACGGGCTGCCTCGGGTTGATACTTAGCGTTTGGGCATTCAGGGCTCTAGGGTTATAGGTTTAGGGTTTAGGGTGTAGGGCTTATTATCGGGTCTAGGGTTTTAGGTTTAGCCGCGAAGGTAATTTGTAGATTCTCGGGGTCTTGCGTTTGTCTTGGGCTTTGAGGGTTGGAGGTGTTGTCAAACACGGTTCTACTTAATTCTACTTGTCCCCAAGCAGTAAAGTTAAGGGCTAAAGCCCTAAAATCCTGAACCCTAAACCCTAACAATCAAACCCCAATAGTACCCTTAACCGACCTATTCTGCGGGGCACGCAGACGTTTAAAGGCAGGTACAGATTTTACTATGGACCCTACTTTTGGGCCCCATGCTACCTGGACCCCAAAAGTATATAGAATAATAGTCCTTTGTAGCTGTTTGCCTACTGTTGGGGGTCTAGGCAGGGTACCCAGACCTTAATAAGGAATATACACTGGACTACGTATTGTTCAATGAAGGATCCCGAATATGATTTAATGTATATTCCACAGATATTGGAAGGTCCGGGTAAATTGTCTACCTGAAACCCAAGCCTTCTTACGCAACATAGGCCACGTGTGCTGGCTTCCATGTTGCTGTCAGGCGCAGGCGGAGCTGATATGGCTCTTTCGGATGAGACTTTACAGACATCTAGTACGTACATAACTACCTACCCCACCCCCCCTCCCCAAGGGTTAACCATTAGATCCTTAAGCACTAAACACCAATGCAAGCCCTAAGACACCCTAACAAACCCACCAAGCCCTGAATGCAAACCCTACGAAGGTCTTATCAGACGGTATAAGTCCCTCCAAGGCTTTCGCGTGCTTTCACTGTTCGGGGAGTCGGGGCTGTGCAGGGGGACCTTATTGGTGGGTCCTTAACGGGTCTATGGCCCTAACTATAAGGCCCTTCGAAGCATAGGGTTATTGTTGAAGATTATATAGCCGCCTAAACCCGGAACCACAAACACGTGAATCCTAAACACAGGACAGATGTAGTGATCCAAGTCGCTTCACTTTCACCAGCATGCATTCGCCTTGGCTGCATCGTGGGGTGCAATTTTTTCCAAGTACGGCATGCTAGGCTTAGTGAATGTTAGGGACTGTTAGGGCTTAGGGTTTTGGGGTTGTGGGTTGAAGGGCCCAAACTCCAAGACTTAAGCCTAAACCCTCACCCCCCACATAATCTACGACTCCTAGTGATTGGAATAGGTTTCTTCCAGTGCCCTGAATAGTACGGGTGAGTTTTGCATTTTACACCCAACATTTAGAGTGTAAAAGGGTAATTTGTCTCTTTAGGGTCCAGGGCTTACCGTATAGGGGTTTCGGGTTGGGGTTTAGAATTTAGAATTAACTATTTGGGCTTAAAGTTTTCTGGGAACCCTACTTGGAGGGTCGGGGGACTTCGTAAGTAGGTTATATGTAGACGTAGAAGTAACCTAAGAGGGACTCTAATTGGGATTATGATACCAAAGGTTCGGCCCTGAAGCCTCTAACTCTTGACCCTCATAACGGAAACCCTATAATATAGGGGCCTTAATAATTAGAATGGGGTTTTGGGGTCCATTGTACTATGATTATAATGAGGAACTCCCAAAATAGTATTGGAAATAATTTCGGCCCCTAAATTAAGCCCGAAACCCGAATACAAGCCCCACAAAAACCGCTCAACATCCCTGCACCGAAAGCCTAAACTTTAAACCGAAATCCTGCATTTCTGTAGCGTCCGAGGATCACTCGCGGGCATCGCAGTACTTGACTTCGCAGCTGGCAGAGGACTTCTCGCAGCCAGGATGCTCCCTGCGGCGAACACTGCTGTTGATGATATAAGGGTTTAGGGTTTAGGGGTTTAGGGTTTAGGGTTGGGGGTTTGAGGTTTAGGGTTTAGGGTTTTAGGGTTTGGGGTTTTGGGTATTGTTGATGATATAAACCCTGCATTACCTTAAGGACCCTAAACTAGGGGATTTATGGTACTATCCATATTCTGGGTAATGCAGGATATATATCATCAACCGTAATTCTAGGGTTTACGTGTTTCGGGTTTAGGGTATGGGGCCTAGGGTCCCAGCCTAGGGTTTAGGGTTTAGGGTTTAGGGTTTAGGGTTTAGGGTTTAGGGTTTAGGGTTTAAGACTAACCGAGAAGACTCAAAGGATCAACAACAAAGGGTGCTACCAAAAGGTATACTGCTTACTGTGCTACGGCCTAACCCTGAAGGTCCATGTACCCAAATAGTAGACACTTAGACCTAATTAAGGTAGTCCCTATAAAGGTACTTTAGGGTCAAAGTATACACCCTTAGGGTAAGATAGGCCCCAAGAGGGATCCTACCTGCTATTTCTACGCCCGAAGACAAGCCCCAAACAGGCAATACCTACCATTTTACGGCCAGAGACCTGGCTTTCGTTAGAGGTTCTACTTTTAATCGACCCTTGAAGGGCGAACGTCTAGAAACGTCTAGACCTCCACCTAGCGAAGCAAACGCCCTCGTTCGGCTCCGCGAATTGACGGAGTTCAAACGGCTCTTTGCGGCCTGAGCAGCGGGGCCAGCAAGTGTGCAACCTCAGTCTGATCGGCACAATGCATCCACACTTCGACATGGCACTTCTGCCCGTCCGGCTTCTTGGACCAGCTCGCTGTCCGTCATAGCCCGGCGTACTTGCTGGGGCCTGCGAGTGAGGGAGTCGATCACCACCTGCTTCGCAGGCCCCGCCGACAGCACCAGCGGGCATGAGCCCGGAGTGACTCCCGCTCGCGCGACCGCTGTAGCGACGATAATCTTCGGCTGATCCGACTCCAGCGCAGCCCGCCGATATGGGGGTTTCCCAAAATAGGGGACCTTAATATACTACCCTAAATAGTGGGATCCCTATTATAAGGACCTCAAAATAAGGTACCCCCCTATTTTTGGAAACTCCCATCTGCAACCGACACCCGGGCATGAAACCCCTACACCCTAAACCCTAAACCCTAAACCCTAAACCCTCCTTCGGAGCGCCAGGCTTCTCTTTGGAGGCCCAAACAACGGTCGTCGCATCTCCCGGGGAGGGTTTAGGGTTTAGGGTTTAGGGTTTAGGGTTTAGGGTTTAGGGTTTAGGGTTTAGCCTGCTCAGAGAACCCAATACCCCTTTATAATCAAGGTCTCATGCTAAAACCGAGGAGCCACGCATCAATCATGTTTAACCCATGTTCCAACTTTTCTGAGGTTCACTGGAAACCCATGTTTCAACTGTCTGATGTTCACTGTAAACCCTAAACCCTACACCCCAAAATGGCCGACAGTTGGAACAGTAGTATCCCCTACACTCCTTGTTGCACTTCCTGGCTGCTACTGCGCAAAGCACTATGCAATGGACATACGTAGTTTCGCCGACCGCAACGCCACGGTGACGTGGAGGGGCCCTATCAAGGTTCTACAGGATTTAGGATTTACGGTTCAAAGGGTAAAATTTAGAGTCCTATGCGGGAACTACAAGCCTAACGAGTCTGTAGAGCTTTCACTCTCTGCTCTATGTAAACCCTACAAACCTTATACCCTGACTTAAACCCTGACTTCTTTTAGTCAATCCTGGTAAACCCTAAACCCTAAACCCTAAACCTTAAACCCTAAACCCTAAACCCTAAACCCTGACCCCTAAACCCTAAACCCTAAACCCTAAACCTGCCCCTTGCCGCCAGCTCAGCGCCTCTGCCAGCACATCAGACTACCATCGATCCTGGTAGGAGCATCTAGTTAGGTTTTAGGGTTTAGGGGTTAAGGTTTAGGGTTTACGGTTTACGGTTTAGGGTTTAGGGTTTAAGGTTAAGGGTTTAGGGTTTAGGGTTTAGTGGGCGCCTTGGGTGGTAGGGTTGGGGTTTGGGGTTCAGGGCCTACATAATTCGATAGGGTTCTGAGGTATTGTATAAGTTTAGTATTCGAGGTTCGCAATATCGGGGCTGTAACTCGCTGCTCAGACCTATACTGGCCTCAAGTACGGAGTTAGGAGAAGGGTTGAGGCTCTGTAAATGAGTTAAATTCGGGGTAGTTGGCTTTACCCCACATCTCCTAGACCCTATTTTTGAGACCAGAAACCCAAAATCCTAAATCCTAAACCCCAAACCCCCGAAGCCCCGTTGACTCTGAAGTGAGCTACTTTACATAAGCACTACCTGGGCCCGAAAAAAATCTGCCTTTTTTAGGGTTCCTTGTTATGCTTTCCTTGTGCAAGTCCTTAAACAAGTAGGTTATTTGGGGTTAAGGTGGCCAATAACCTAGTATCCTACGAGCTAGGTAGCTGGGCTCTTTAGGGCTTAGGGGGCTTAGGGGTTTAGGATTCAGGGCCTTAGGGCTAACTGGGCTTATTTTCACCTGCACCCTCACTTTCGAAGCTAGAGGTGGGGGATTTGCCCTAACCCCCAAATCATACACCACCCAAACAGCGTTCCCCAAACCCTAAACCTTAGATCCTAAACCTCGAGTAAGGTTCCCTAATAACCCTAAAGCCCTTAAGAGAGGGTTTGCGAAATCCTAATATAAGGGCCTTCATAATTAGAACAGGGTTTGGGGGCCCATGATGTCATATTTACAAGAAGGAACCCCCAAGCTGATATAGGAAAGTATTTAGGCCCCTATCTTTAACCCGAAAAACGGTTTAGGGTTTAGGGTTTAGGGTTTAGGGAATCCAAGCAGCAGATCTCAGGCCCTTGGCGGTTTGCATTGCTTGTCGCGTCGAGGTCTCGATGGGCAGTCCCACAAGAGAGGCTTCTCTTCGGAAGGAAACCAAATGCTCTTCACATCTGTGGAACGTGCCCCTAAACCCAACCCGAACTGCTACACCCTAAACTCTAAACCCCAAACCCTAAACCTCAAACCCTAAACCCTAAACCCTAAACCCTAGACCCTACAGAACGCTGCATCCGACGCCTTTCTCTTGTTTCTGAGCGACTCGGACCGCTTGCTGCATGTGAGATGCTCGGATGCAGCCTCTGAAATCTCTAGCTAGGGTTTGGGGTTTAGGGTTTAGATGTCGCCTCTGCTCGATAGCAGGAGCAGATACGGGCTCAGCTTGTTGGTCAAGGCTGCTGTGCTGTGGGAGGCCCAATTATGATCGGTGTGACCGCCCAAGAAAGCAAGTAGCCATCGTGTGCGTCATAATTGTTCCTGTTCACTGGAAAACTTCAATGCAGCTCACCAGAGGCGAGCAGAAGACTCACAAAACCTTCACGCGCTGCGGCACCCTACTTGGAGGATCTTGGGACTTAGTAAGTGGGGTTATCAGTAGCTTAATCGGGGCTATAAGCTATTTTTAAGCGTATTTACCTTATTTATAGCCTCAGTTGGTAAGTCCCATGATCCGTTAAGTAGCAAGGAAGGGTCATTTCCGAGTTCAACCT